AAAAGAAAAAAATGCCTTCTTCTTTGTAGAATAAAAATGATTATTTTTTGAGTGTGTGTGACCATTTTTATTTCCGAATAGACAGGGCAGCTTATAGCCTACAGAATGAGCTGACCATTTTTATTTATTGTAGTAATTAAAAAAAAAAAAAAGAATGTGTTTTCTACAAAGATCATATGTTATAGACGTGGTATTCAACTTTGTATTCCCATGGTCGATGCATTTGGGTACATCTATTTTTTTATTTGCTTTCAATGACATCGCATTCAATATCCCAAACTCATGTATACCTGTCCAATACTCCAAATTATACCACTGTAAGCTAAGTCAATGCTTTGAATTAATGAAACCAATCTGTAGATAAGCGTACCTTTTGAATACAGACGATTTTAGCATAAAAACGATTTAAATTTCCCTTTCTGCTTAAGTATGTTGGCTAATCTTGGCCCCCTCGGAATAGCTTGTGTTTACGTTATGTAATGAAAAAATAAAGCAATTAAACGCTATTTACCTGCATCTATCAATCCACTTTCTCCTCTTCTTTGCAACAATCGGGGATCAAAACAAACTACAAGTTTAATAATTCCACTGCGATGCTTACAACTTAAGTAATCCATTGTCTCCAAGAACGCTCAGGTACCCGGGAGTTATAAAACGAAAGTGAAAGTCAACGAGACTTACAGACCCTTTGAATTTTCCTATAGTATACATGATAGATAAGTGTAATAAATATAATTTGTGAACAAAACAAACAACAAATTCTACTGGGGTGCTTAAAACTAAATGCGAAGCTGTAATCCATTGTCTGCAAGAATGGTAAGTTATAAAACGAAAGTGAAAGTAAATGAGAATTAAAGCTATAGTCTTGGGAGCAGTTGTTATTTCATAAATAATTTGAATAGGTGATATCACCTATTCAAAATGATTAAGTGATATCACCTATTCGAATAAGTGATATCACCTATTCGAATAGGTGATATCACCTATTTGATTTGAATAGGTGATATCACCTATTCGAATAAGTGATATCACCTATTCAAAAGGAATAAGTGATATCACCTATTTGAATGGGTGATATCACCTATTCGAATAGGTGATATCACCTATTCGAATAAGTGATATCACTTATTCGAATAGGTGATATCACCAATTCAAATCGAATAGGTGATATCACCTATTCGAATAGGTGATATCACTTATTCGAATAGGTGATATCACCTATTCGAATAGGTGATATCACCTATTCAGAAGCTGAATAGGTGATATCACTTATTCGAATAGGTGATATCACCAATTGAATAGGTGATATCACCTATTCGAATAGGTGATATCACTTTTTGGCAGTAAATACCAAAACGGCGCCTCATAATTCAGCCATTAAGCCATGTAGAAAACGCGTATGTTTGTAAATATTGTAAATAAAAACTATT